CAAACATCAAAATTATCGAATATAAATAGGTGCATGGTTCTCCGATTCACTGTGTACTGAATAGGTCATCCAGTCAACGTTAACAATGTTTCAAGTACGTATTTGCATTAGTGTGTAAGAGACATGTGCTGTGAAGTGACAAGTGTTAAGATAGCATATGTATATACGTGAGAGGAAATTTCATTCACTATATATTGTCTCTGGTCAGTGAATTTTAAGAAAACATGTAATTTGTATCTCATACTAATAGATCAAAAAAATTGCAGTTTCAGTCGTTTTCCTATAACGAAGTGATTGGAATTGTCTAACATAAGTGTGCGAAAGATTCACATTGTAAGATAAGAACTGCTCAGAAGTCACGTACCGAAATATTCAAAATAAAATTTTAAAAAAGTGCTTCAGCCGTTGATGGGTTTACATTCCAATAGGTTGAATTAGTAAGTAATCGAAAGGCACCGATAATGGTGATCATAAAATCATGAACGTATAGATTATTGATTATCAGTTAGATTAAATGTGATTATGGAAATATATCTTATTGCAGAATGGTATATTACCCTTGAAAGAACCTATCAATGTAGAAGAAATAGGAAGTATGGTTAATGAATCTCGTTGAAAGCATCCGGCAATTCTTTGAGCAACTTGATCTTTCACAGCGACCCACAACAGCTGGGGATACCCTGGATTTTCATTCTGTCAATTGTAAACTACTAACTCGGCCCAACAATGATTGACTTCAATTGTCGAATAAGACTTTCGGCTTTATTTGTTCCATTTAAGCTATATTTACGATGTTTAAATTACCACTACCAGTGTTGTTGTATTTCTACCTCTCTATTGTTGTTAATTCTTTTCGCACTATGTTAAAGTAAAGTTTGCTGACTTGGGCTGATACGTATACATTTCTGGTCTTTATGGGCTTTATCGCTGACTAAAATTTATTCATAACTGACTGATGCAACAATTCAGTATTATTTTAACTACAAGTGTAACGAAACTAGTAAATACTGTGTATAACGTTGCAGTTTGAAATTTGTTGTGAATCGATTACTTCTTTCTCATTGAAGATATTCCAATTAATCTTTTGTAAATTGTTTAAACTTTTTTTATTATTTCACTGAGTGAAAACAGTGAGTAACCCATAATGTTTACAGGATTAGATTAATGTGGACATGTTGTATGATTAGATATGTTTGGAATAATATGAAGGTAAATTTTCTATTTTTTCAAATCTTTGACATATCAAACACTTTGATTATTTTTATTTCTAACAATTTATTTGTGTGATCAAATCAAGCATATTTGGTTAGACGTTATGTAAGGATAGTTTTAAATGTTTCTTTACTATGAACTGATATTACAAGTTTATTCTACAGAATGATCTCAATAAAGATGCAGTTCATAGCTAAGGTTCAATTATTAGCTTCTACATAATGATTTATTATACTGAAGGTATTTATCAAAGTGACAGTACTAAACACCATCTCCATTTTCAAACCAGCTTAGTTTCAATACTGTACTCTTACAAAAAAAACTTCAACAATTCAAATTGTTTCACTACAATTTCGTGTCCCAAAGTAATACTCTTCCTAGAATTAACATGTAAAAAATATCAGCAAGTATTTCAGATTTCTGAATAATTTGTTTATCATATTAAAACATAATGGTTTAAGAATAAACAAACTTTTTCTGAATGATAATTGATCTAATTATTAAGTTTCACGCGACCTACGTAATCTAATTTCGGTATTGGTCGATTGTCACATGACAAAATTATTGTCCATAGAAGAATCAAATCTACCGGAATTGTTTAGATATTTATTCGAACGATGTTTGTTTGTTGTGATCGATATGAAATTAGTTATATACTTGATAAAAGTTTGTTGATGTAGTAACTGAGTGGACAGTTGAAATTTTAGATATTCTTGTATTCATATACTCGTTTATAATGATTATAAGTTTATAGGAATGCGAGGATGTGGATATGTGGACATCCTTCATTAACGAAGGAAAGCAACAAAATAAAAAAACAACTACTTATTCTATCTGTCTAATATAACAAACATCTTGAAGATAGGACAAATTACAGAACCTATCCATAGCTAAAAATTAAAGAAACTTGATTAGGGATTTTATCTTAGTTATGAATTACTCATTGGTAATTGTGCGTTAGCCTCGTGGTTAATAAAATAATCGAATTCCAACCACTATTGTTTAAAGTTCGTACCCAGCTTAACGTACTGCGGTTTTAATAAGCTAGTAGTACCACTATCCCTGACTTAAGTAATGTAGCTTAGACCCACCCAAGTACATAAATATGTATTCTGTGAGCTTATTCATCACAATACCCTCTGAAAAAAAGAACTGGTAACCTTTGAAAGCCATAATATAAATATTGCTTTTAATGAGTGTCAAAACTTTCGGGTTGTGGTTACTAGATCATTATTAGGTCCTCGTTTTAGTTTAAAGTTTTTCAGTGTTAAAGGCAAGTTCAAAATAAAACTCTGCCTCTATGAAACACTTTATATTCTCTACGGTAAATTCTCCTCAGGTTCTGAAATTATATTATCCAAATTAATAATCCAAAAAATCGCCAGGTTAAAGGCAAAGTGCATCGTTTAGAGTTAAAGCATGTGAATTTAGGATTGTCAAACAAAATAGAATAACTTCAACTAATCCATGAAATTGTGCGACACATCCACCATTGTTGTCAATGGGTGACTATCTCACAACAGACCCGGCTGAACTATACTGGTCACTGCTCCTCACTAGATCGTGGATGCGGACTGTTGTGGAGTCCCGCAATAGGACGAAACAGCTGTCCAGTGTTTCCAGGTTTTCCATGGCGGTTTAGCTTCAATTGACTCATGATCTCAACTACTAAAAAATAGAGTGAAATTGTTAATGTTGGTATGACTCATATAGAATGTTAACTTGAATCAGAATAAATATGGATCAGATAGGGTGAGAAAAATAATAGTGCAACTAAAATTCGATCAAATGTTTAGTGGAAGACTATATCATGTTAAAAATTACCATGATATAATGAGGTTAGATGAATGCGAAGTAAATGAATCATGCATTGGGTAGATTTGTGAATAAAGATAACAGACAATTACATTTGACTACGAAAGGTCGTAAGTACAATAGTCAAATTAGGTCATCCAATAGCCCAGATTACTATTGATTAATTGGACTTAAGGTTGGCCAAGGAAGGAGAAGCAGTTGAAGATATTTCTTTTGTGCACACAGCTCCGGTTTCTTAATCTGGTTGGCTACTGCTTCAGCCGTTTGAAGGACTTCGAGTCTGACAAGCTTTGACAAGAAATTACTGACTCGATAAATAGTTGAAAAGGATTGGTTTATACTGGCACTATGACCAGTTTGCACAAAATGGGACAACATCGAGCTGAAGGGAATTTATCGAAAAGAATATTCTTCGTTCAAATATTAGTCTTTTAATATGATGGGGACCTTTAGACAAATACTTTATATTTTAAGGTCGTCCTTCCCTTTATACTGCCATATGAAATCCCTAATACGAATTGAGTTTTAAAATTATTTATTGTCGAATTGATGGTTTGAAATACTGGTTTAATCAATTGTTTTGTATAACGTACATAAAATTGCCTGTAGTGATTTCTTATACTTTTTTATGACAAATACGTAGACATTAGTTATTGGTTTTAACTATTTAAAGGAAGAAAAAAACTCATGAAAAAGATTTCAACCGTTTCTCACTCCTAAGCAAACAAACCGTAGACATGTTTCCTCTACTGTATCTGAAATATTTTACTTTTCATAACATCACATAAACAATAATTGTCTATTTTCTAAAAGTTTTCTCTGAATTTCTATTCTTATCTATAATCACGTTTTCATGATATCATCATAAATATTATGTCTCTTTACATATATGTTTCTTTTTATTATTTGTCTTGAAGTCTAAAATCCACCAAACTGGTGATCGATATCTCAAGTTTGTTTATAACATTACATAAGGAATCAAATAAATTGCTTTATTTCCGGTGACTCGTTATCGGTTCAAGATAATTTCATCTGATCCGATATGACTAAGAAAGTTTCCTCTAACAAAATTAACTGTAATTCGAGCGGAAAATGTAATTTTTAGTGTTACAATGTGTAAATCGATTATAGTGCACTGAATTTATTGACCGTTTTAGTATGGAAATTGACCGATTCACTTTTTAAAGTGTAACAACTAGGAACAGTAGATAATACTTCATCTAGTTGCTACTAATTAGTGGATTATTTTTGTCGATCTTGGTTGCATTTTATTTTTACCATTTATTTACCAATAAAAAATTTATAAGCTTAAACTAAACGATTTCAGTAAAACACAAAACAAGATGTAAGAGTAGAGATTTCTACAGATAATAGTTCACTTTAAAATAAATAAGATAAAGAAGCGAAGAATACATGCCAAAAATAAATTACAACATAAGATGGGACATCAGGACTTTAATAAGTTAAGAAGTTTAATACACTGCTTCTGGACATGAACACCAGGTTTGAATCGATGGATTGCAAATGCTTCCGTTATACCCAAGTTTCTCATCCGGAGGTAAATAAAAGTCAACCAGTAGCTCTGTTGTTTAACATCATCTCTGCCAAGATCTACTTTCAAAATTATTCATAAAGTTGAAAAAACAGGTTCAATAAGAAACTGGTCAAGAAAGTTGAGCATAGCAAAGGCTCTGGCAGCCCATCATTTGTAACCTCTTTGTGTTTAAAAAAATGAAATCCATTCGTTTGCAACAACATGGGCTGAAATTTTTGTGATTGAGAACCCTAATAATTCATTATCGACTGTCTCTTTCTTTCTCTGTCTCGTATAGGATTTAACGTTGTACGAAAATGTGGTTAACACTTAATGAAGAAATTCCATGTATTGCTATTAACGTTTAATTATATATTTACACACTAGATATATTTTCACTCACTTATTCTCTTGATTCACATCTTTTTATACAATGTAGATCTTACGTTTGAAAATGATGGTCCACTGAAATGGTCTGAATCAATGAAAGTGAATTCATTTTACAAGGAATCATAGAATACTGACTTGATTATTTACATTTTAATCATGATTTTTCTTTAAAAAAAAAGAAAGGACAACATTATCTAACTAATTCATAACTATTGTCTTTCAATGTTTAATTTGTTTCTTTTTTTTATAAAAAAAAATATCCTACATGTTTATTGCACTCTCATCATGTAAATACATACAACATATAAGTCATGTAATGAACTATTTCTGCCGTCATTGCAACTTAATTGTGTAGTAAAATGTAAATTGCATGTTATACTTTTTCGTGTTGTTTTTATCATTATCAACAATGCAACAATTGAAAAGTATCAAGTATATTTATTACATGAACTCCAATTGATTAATCTTCAACGCTGACATTATTACCTCATTTATCATTTATCATTTGTAATTAATATTATATATCATCTTAACCTTGATATATTTTATTACTGTTTGGTTTTCCAGCAACTGTTTTTTTTTTTAAAAAAACAACAATCGTTTTTCTTTTTTTTTGTTATTAGTTTTTCAAATTATCATTTCATTTATTGAATACGTTTATTCTTGGGAAAATAAATACTGACTTATGTATGCATATAGATATTATTATTATTCATTATATTTCTTTATTTTAATAATTGCTTGATCTCATTATATATTTGTGTTGGGTAATAATGATGACGTTTTTGAATGTATAACACTCTAGCGTTCATTTTTCCAAAATTGGAACAACTATGTATGTGTGACTATGTGTGAAAAAGAAGTGAATCCATCAATTGTATACGTTGTTCTTTCGTTTATTTAAATGTTGTTGATTCTATTTTCTAATTTTCGAGATTTATTTTATAATTTTGAATCAACAGCTATTTCGATTTATTAAAATGGTTATTGGAAAAATGTTCATATATGGAGTTGTTTCTTGTTGCTTGAAATGGTGTACTTACTCTTGTTTATCTTAACCGTACTTGTATTTATATGTAGGAAGTTGTATTTTTATTTACTTATTTATACAAAGTGTGCATATTTGCCGATATATATATATAATATTGCTCATCGATCCAGTATACTTTATTTCTAGTTAAGTAGAAAATGCTTATTAAAGAGAGTTTCGTTCTTCATTGTGTGTGTTTTATATTTTAGGATGGAAGTTATTGTAAATTAAATAAACAGAAAGTATAGTATAGTTTCTTCTTTGTATAACATCCATTTTTCTCCTTTGAAGCCTGTCACGAACAATGGTCGTCAATATGTATAGTCGTTGAAGTAGATACATTACCGGATCTGAATTCGTTGACTAGTATTTTTACTTTTAGTTAACTAGCAATTCAAAATATCGTATTATCTAGTTTGATATGTATAACAACGATCTAACAACTTAGTTAAGATTATTTTTATCATCAACAAGAAATGAGTTTCATAAAAAGTTATGGTTCTGTCTGATATTTAATAAAATAATAAATTTATTACTACATTCTGATGAATGACATCACACCGAATGATTGACTTTTTTTCATCTAATTACACTGATTGACTCCTAGATCGGTCTTCTTTATGATTCTCTGCTTTGAAGAAAGTTATTCTCACGCTTACATAATCTAGCACCCATTCACGCCTGTTATCCACTAAATCTTCATGAACAGTATGCTTTCAACCAACCGAAGATAAAGTGTTACTTAACTCATATTGCTTAATTTAAGTTGAGCGGAATAAAAGGCCTAATTTTCGATTTGTAACAAAATGTCATGAATAATGTGTTTATCATTATCCTTATATATGTTCATTTGACCAACAAATTGATTTGGTTCTCAAGTGATTGTAAAATAACTAGTCCTTTGAGATTTCTAACTTACAACTTGATATCATTTAGATCAAAAGCCATAAAAAATGTTCGTTTTTAGTTCAAGCTTTTCAACTGTGCACAAATTATATTTCTTGGTTAATGTACAAATCAAATACAGGATTTCAGTAAGCATTAGATTTTTTTGTAAAATTATCTATAATTTCTCAATACCTGTTTACAAAATCAGCTGTACTCATGCTGAGGAGAAATTCCAAAAATTGATTACAGGACATCAAGTAATGGACAACGGATGACTATAAAATTGGTAGCATATAACACTACGATCAGAAGTTTAGATCAGTATCAGCATTTAGTTTGAAGTCAGACCATTTGTGGAGGGTCCTGGTGTATCCTAAAATGAGTTCTAGATTCAATTAAGCTGTTAGATACAATCAAATATAATATTTATACTTGGTGTTTTTCAGAACTACCAAAAGTACGAATTCCCAAAAAGGTTAGATTTTAAGCACAGTTGAGATACTTTTATCGTTGAGTATTGGTGCGCACAGGGATAACCAAGGTTTTCATTCATCAAAAATAATGGAGCTATCACGGCAGTGAATTTTGATAATTTGTTTCTAACGTCGGCATAATTCAAATGTAAATGAACTTCATTTTTCCGATCACCTAACTGAAAATTAGTAATTATTACAAAATCTAATAACACCAAGTGAGTGGGTGTAAACCACAATTATGCAGTTACTAAGTATAAATATCCCTGCTTGAATAAGTTTTGAATCTAATAAGCTTAAAAAGATATCATGATAAAACAAATAAGTTTTGCGTTCAGAATTTAAATGTGTCATGATTGACAAAATGGTTTGATTCCGACCTTTGTATTGTATAAATATATATTGGCTAAATGTTTTTGACTTGACTCACCTGGTTAGAGAAGGATATTTATTATCAATGGATGTAGTATCCAGAATATTCCTTTTATAAAATATTCATGTGGATCTATAACAAGTGGGAAACAAATTATCAAGTTATTTCTTCTTATGAAACCGAACAGAGTTATGATGCTAATGTTTTCAGAACACTATGAACTAATTTTGTATTGTTGTTTTCCCTTCAGACAATCTCCATCCTACTGTGATGTTTTGAGTTTTCCAGATTGTCTGTTTATTTATCGTGTACATATAGGGACAGTAACCCTTTGTTATTTTGATAAATAATTTTCACCAGTTTGATTAATCAATATTCGTTTTATTAATCCTTCATCCATTCAAACTATTTTTTCGATTCACAGAAACCTATAAGCATTGAATATGACTAAACCATAGGAAATGAATTCATATTATTTCGCTTTAATTGTTTCTTTTGTTCTATTAAAGCTTTCATAGTAAACTAACTATTTGATATTTATAAACAATTAGATTTTCAGTTAATTTATAGTTAAAAACGATAAAAGACCTAAATAATGTATGCAAATATCACAAAATGTGTAGAATCTAACTGAAGTATACTGACTTACAACGAAACGTGAATAAAATTAAATCGACCTAATAACGTCCATTCATGTTATTTGTAAAAATGGGATTCCGATTGCATATTTTACATAATCTTGACTACAAACATGGTAAATTTATCAGGTAGATCTATGTGAACATACACTACGAGTCTTTCTGTGCACTTACTTATTGGTTAGTGAACATCATGTATCTAGATGACCTCTATGCGGACATATAGAGTGATCAATATGTGTAATATATGGGTATCCTTTTTCAACGAAAATCAAGAGACAACTAAAACAAGAAATAACGGGCTTCCATTTGGCTAGATAAAACTTTTGTGAAGAAATTGTGATCACAGCAGCAGGCTGGATTTTCGAATAATTACACTTCAAAGGATAAAGAACGTTTACAGACACAATTATGTATATTGTTTTTTCGCGGGGGAGACCGAAGCTCCTGGGTTCGAATCTAGGATGTGGAGTTATAAACGCACGCTGCTGAGGAGTCCCATACTTGGAAAAAGTGGCCCTCCAATGCTTCCAGGTTTGCAGTGATGTGCTATCTAAGATCGTTTCGCGATCTGAACTATGAAAATATTTATTATTATTATCTTTTAATTCACATTTAATATTTGTCAAACTATTCAATTACATGTTAACGGTAGGGTTTAAATAACTTTGCAGTGCACACAATGAACCACATAGATTAGTTCCTCAATATGAAAATTGATTTAAATAAGTTCAGTCAACATAGTATCAAACATGTTTTAGTAAAGATGGTATAAAAAAATAGGCTGTGCTTGATTTCTATTATTCACAAGCACCAACCTTTTAGAAATTACTACTTCTTTCGCTTAATATATTGAATACATAACTCATGTACTTTATAATGACTCTTCTCCAACTTGTTTAATGTAAAACTCATTGAAGTAGAAATTTAATTATATTTATCATTGGTAATTAGTAATGTTTTATACAACCATTAAGGCTTATTTAGATCAGGTGTTTTTTGCTTTAATTAACAATGATAATACATTTTGATTGATTTTCATTTTTAAGGAAAGCAAACATTAGCATGATGAACTTCACTGATTAGTTTATTATTCAGTCCTTGATTTGTCTACATAACAGTATACAGAAGAATAAGGCCTTGACACTATAGGCTGATTGACTCAACCTTGAGGCTAGAATCACGTGAGTTCAAAATGAGATTAACTGCCATGGGTAGAGAGACGAAAGCTATTCTACCACCCGATTGGCCGACAAGTGCGCGAGAGAGAAGACGAGTCAACTGGGACACTACTAAATTTATTCCCGATTCCAATTCACACTCCGATTCAGAATAATGTAAACCAGTATTTCAATAATATAGATAACTAACATGAACACAATGCATAAACAGTTAAGAAAATACAATTATGTCTAAAAGTGGGGATTAGGATAGAAAATAGACTACAAAAAATTATGTTTAAATTACAATAACTTTGGAACAAAAGAAGGGTATAACAGTGAACAAAAATTAATTATTATCAGAATGAGGCTTATATTAATATTAGTAAATGTTTTCATGAATATGACTGAAATAAACTTAGGTTAATAGAACAAAATCTTTTCATATTTTAATCTGGATTGGAAGAGTTTATTGATTTACGAAACATGGAATGGATAATCGGTCATGTCTTTTTTTTTTAAATTCCGTAGTAAATTTAACATATAAGTGTTTTGTAACTAATTACTATTTGAACAATGAAAAGTTTTGTTCGCAAGTGTTTTGTTGATTATCATATCTTAGACCTAAAATTTACGATATCTTACATTTCTATTAAATGTGTAGAGAAATTAAACTGTATAGGTGGTCAGTGAATTATTCAAAATAAATTGTACGATATACTTGCTTTATGATCTAAAGGGTAACACTTGAAATGACTTGATCTAAAATAATTTATTAGAGATTAATCAGTTCAATAACATAATGATCATTATAAAATTCAATAATATACCTTCGTTCAGTGACGAAACATTCTGGAAAAAAAAACAAAGTTTCAAATTTTTATTAAGATTTAAGATAATGGATATTTAGGAAAAATTAAATGTAATGAAAAACAAACTCAAAAAAGAGAACATTTTTCAAATGATTAAAATCATCAAACAGAATGGATCTGTTTGGTGTCCCATTTTTACTGTTTTCTAAATATTATTGTTATTAGTTTTGAATTTATAACATATTATTTAAGCATATTTTTAGGTTATCAAATGATGGATCCTTTTTCAAGTTTGATCACATATCACTTGATGTAATAATGTGAGATCTATTTAACTGCATAAGTGTGATGTATAGACAAGCTTAATTATTTCTGTCGTAATGTTCAAAATAAATTTATTATTGTTCATAGCTCGATTCCTAACCAGCAATTAATTTATAATCTATGTGCTAAACTTTAAATTTCTCTCTCTACCAGTTTTAATATTTAAAAATTCAACTTATTCCAAGTTATTTACATCATGGTTACAATTTTAATAAACTTGAACGTTTTAGTGAAATATTCATTTGTCTTTTTATCAAATGTTATTATTATTTTAATAGTTGAAATCATGAGTCAATTGAAGCTAATCCACTATCAAAACCCTGGAATCAATGGATGGCCTCATCAGTAGTGGGCATCCACGATCCCGCCCTCTGCGAGTTTCGAGTCCAGGACCTACCGGTCTCGCATATGAACGCTTAACATCTAGACCACTGAGCCGGCATTCAACGGTGTTAAATTCTAACTCCAACTAATCCACGAAATTGCGCGATACATGCACCATTGTCTTCAGTGAGCTGATATCTCACAACAGACCTGGTTGAACTCCACTGGTCACTGCTTCTCGCTAGACCTCCAGCAAATACCTCTTGAAGTCAG